CAGTGGGGAGATGTGCAGCCTTGCTTTATCCCTGATCTAATGGGGAAAGCATCTAGCATCTCACCATTAACCACCATGTTAGCTGTTAGGCTTTTATCAAAGTGAATTCCCTCTACTTCTAGCTTCCTAAGAGCATTATCTCATTTAATGTCCATTTTATGTTTACTGGGAAGGTGATATTTTGCAGTTTATTTTTATATCCTATTAAGTACATTTTCCATTATCCTGCAGGCCATTTGTTTCATTCAGTCTGCTCAGGGCTGCTATAACAAAATATAAGCTGGGTGACTTAAGCAATACATTTATTTCTCACAGTTCTGGAAAATGGAGTCCAAGATCTAGCAGGGCTCAGATTTTCACAAGGGCTCTCTTCGCTCTTTCGCACATCATTACCTCTGGAATGCTATCACTGGCTAACCATTCTGAAATCCGTGAGTTTTCAAGAAAAATAATATCATGAAAAACAATTTGAATGTAATGTGCAGGGCTAACAGTAAAGCTTGGGTAACCAGGCAATTTTTTATTGAGTGGATACATGAAGTGTTTGCCCCAAGTGTGAAGAAACACCTCCGGGAAAACCCATCGCCAGTCAGGGCACTTCTTGTAATGGACAAACTCCTGTTGGGGGCAGAGATGTGGATCATACTCTGTTAACCGCGACTGTGAAACCGGGAGGCCACCTAACAGGAACTGTTTCATGATGACTCCCCTTACTAACTACGGGTATGAGGTTTTCCTACAGACCCTGGGAAACTGGAGGGTGTGCTGCAAGAGGAAAAGCAGGGCTGTAATGAGATGAGACCCTTTGGGGTCTGGATGGGTCCATTGCTCAGAAAAGAACGGACAGAGGACAGGATGCGCTTTGATTTGGTTGCTGTGCCTGGAGCCCGAACCCCTCGGGAGTTTACCTCAGGAATGCTGACCATTCACAGGCCCTAGGAGCTGGTGGAACTAGGTTTTAACGCGATTGAAAATTAATGACCTTGTTAACAGACTTAGAGATCCTGGAAGGAGACACACCCCTGTAGCCATCCTCCCACCCCCCAACCCTTTCCCTTTGCGTGCAGCCCTATATAACCAGCCATATAATAAGGGAAGGGCAGAGCAGATGTTATGTGGACAAATCCCACTGCTCTCCCATTTGCCCTCAAAAAATGGAATAAATGCTCAAATGATTCAACCTTGTCTCTGCTTAATTGGCTGAAGTAGCTGCAGGCAGCTGGGACCCATGGTGTCTGTTTTCAGTCCCGCCCACCCTCCAGGCGTGGAGCCAAGCTGGTGGAGGAGGACAGCTTCATCCTGTGAGGCTCTTGCCACCTAACACAGCTCCTCTCATCCAGCCCATGGACCAGCAGGTCATTTCTAACTTTAAGAAACTCTACACAAAGGCACTGTATCAGAGGTGTTTTGAGGTGACCTCTGGAGCAAATTTAACCCTCAGGGAGTTCTGGAAGGAACATTTTAATATCCTCACCTGCTTGAGGCTCATAGACAGAGCATGGGGGGAAGTGTCTCCCAGGACCATGCAATCAGCCTGGAAGAAACTGTGGCCTGAGTCTGCTGCTGGAAGAGACTTTGAGGCTTTGAGCCTGAAGCAAGTTCTAGTGGAGCGAAGAGGCGAAAGGGAAAGAACCCCAGAATAGCTACCTGGCGTTTCATGGAAGGGACATACAATAGCATCCCTCCAAACAGTAGCATCCCTCCTCCTCATTCAGTCATCAGCAGCTCTCAACATCAAAGGTAAGTTCCAGCTCTGGCTCGCGTGGCCCAGTTGGTTGGGTGTCATCCCCCTGCACCCAAAGGATTGCAGGTTCGATTCCCAGTCAGGGCACATACCCAGGTTGCAGGCTCGATCCTCAGTAGGGGGTGTCAAGAGGCAGCCAGTTGATGTTTCATTCTCACATCAATGTTTCTCTTTCCTTCTCCCTTCCTCTCTAAAAATCAATACCAAAAAAAACCTTAAAAAAAGGTAAGTTCTAGTGTGTATATAAATTTTTATTTTTTACTGTACATTTAATTTCCTTTTTACTTTTAAAGTGTTTACTTATAGACTAAACAGTACATTAGACATGTATTGTATAAGAAAGGTTAAAACAAGAGTTATTTGGGGGTCTGGAACAGATTAATTCAATTTACATTATTTATAATGGGGAAAAATGATTCGGTTTTTGAACAAATTGCTTCTCAAACAGCGTTCCAGAATGAATTAAGCTCAAGAACCAAGGTTCCACCGTATATTGTACCAGACAATTTATGTTTTCCTTCCAGATTCTCTCTCCACCCTTCTGCTTCAGAAAGTTGTCCTGAATGGACATCAAAGCACATCAGTTCTTACCGATGGAGCTCTCTATAGAACTGCTCCCTCCTCTCTTCCTTTTGGGCTTAGAGGTGGTCCCCACAGATCTGTAGGTACCGGGTACTGCAATATTCTTTGTGATTTCTCTAATCTCTGCCTACTTCTTTGTAATTTTCGCTTTGTTAAACTCTCCCCAAATTATCCCTATTGGACTGTGCCATCGCTTCCTGCCAGGACCCTGACTGATAGAGACACATGACACACTGTGCTATAAGCTGTGGGATTCAGTGGAAGTTTAAGAAAAAAATCCCTAATCTCTACGAGTTTAAATTGAGGCACTTAATGAAGTCAGAATGCTGAATGGGGCTGAGACAGCAGGTACCGTACGGAACTCCATGAACCTCAAGAGCATGGACAGTTTCACCTGGCGTGAGGCTTTGAGCTGTGCAATGGAACGAACATTTATTTGGGCCCATGTGCCACACCCTTATGGCTGTGCTTAATATACTACATTAAAAGATTAGGTATATTTAAAAGCCAGCACAGCGTTCAGCAAAGCTTATGCTATTTCTACTATACCAAAGTTTTCCAAACTTAAGTATAACTTACCTGCAGAAAAATGCACAAAACTAATTAACAAAATTTTTTTTATTAAAGTGAAATAACATAAAATTAAACATTTTAAAGAGAATAATCCAGCGGCATTTAGTATATTCACAATGTACAACCATCACCTCTGTCTAGTTCCAAAGCATGCTCATCACCCCAAATAAAACCCTGTACCCATTAGCAGTCACTCTCCATTTTCCCTCCCTCCAGCCCCTGCAACTACCAATCTACTTTATTTTATTTTATTTTTAATATATCTTTATTGATTTCAAGGAGAGAAAGGGGGAGGGAGAGAGATAGAAACATCAGTGATGAGTCATTCATCGGCTGCCTCCTGCACATCCCCCACTGGGGATGGAGCCCGAAACGCTGGCATGTGCCCCAACTGAGAACTGAACTGGGATCCCTTGGATCACAGGCTCGACCACTGAGCCACGCTGACTGGGCAATCTACTGTATCTCTATGGGTTTACCTATCTGGGTACTTTATAAGTGGAAGCAGACAATCTGACCTTTTGTGTCTGGCTTCTCTCACTTAGCACAATGCCCTTGACGTTCACCCTCCCAGCACTGTAGCATCAACAGTGTATCCCTTTTCACAGCTGGACAACCCACTGCATGGGTAGGGCACAATCTGAAACATCTGTGTTTCTATCTTTGAAAATTGTTTATGTGAACATTTGTGTACAAGTATTTGTGAACATCTGTTTTAATTCAGGTGTATATCCACAAGTGGAATTGCTGGGTCATTTGGTAATTATGTTTAATTTTTTGAGAAATCACCAAACTGTTTAGGAGGGCTGAACCATTCTACCTTCTTACCAGCAATGTATAAGGGTTCTAATTTCTCCATGTCCTTGAAACCGACCAACCTTTAAAACTTGTTCAGGAAATATCATATTGAAAAAAACTGCACTGCCCTGGCCGGTGGCTCAGTTCACTGGAGTGTTGTCACATACACCAAAAGGTGGCGGGTTCCGTTCCCGGATGGGGCATATGAGAGGCAATCGATCAATGTTTCTCTCTCACATGGATGTTTTTCTCTCTCCCCCTTCCTCTCTCTCTAAAATAATAGAAAAACATCCTCATGTGAGGATAAAAAACAAAAATGAAACCAAAAAACTGCACTGTGCTATAAGGCACAGAGGGAATATTTATCATAGAGGTTAAGCCTAAGTTCTAATTTTATTATTATTAAAAAATATATTTTTATTGACTTCAGAGAGAGGAGGGGAGATAGAAACATAAATGATGAGAGTTGTTGATCAGCTGCCTCCAGCTCGCCCCCTACTGGGGATCGAGCCTGCAACCAGGGCATGTGCCCTGACTGGAATTGAACCTTGACCTCCTGGTTCATAGCTTGATGCTCAACCACTGAGGCACACTGGCTGGGCCTAAGTTCTAATTTTATTAACACTGGAAAAGCAGGCCCGAGGAAGTGCAGAGACTTGATCAAAGTCCAAGCTAAAGGATGCATCTAACAAGATGGGGCTAGAAGGGAGGAAAATATTTTTATAGCATTCCATGGTTCCACCCTCAGATTTACTCACTCCAAGCATGCCTTCAAGTTTCTGACATTAAAATTGTTCCCACTATGGTTTGGAGGGTAAGTAAGAATCCTAGTAAGAAAAAGAGAGAGAGCTTCCAAATGGGAGGCAGGACACCGAGCAGTAGGTACACCAGTCTACCTAAAGATGAGATACACTTACGATATCTGAGCATGAGATTAACCAATTTTGTTTTATTTATTTATTTTTTAACCCTCACCCAAGGATATTTTTTCCATTGCTCTTCGGAGTGGAAGGCGGAGAAAGAAACATGGATGTGAGAGACGATTGGTTGCCTCCCACATGCACCCCGACCGAGGATGGAGCCTGCAACCAAGGTATGTGCCCTTGGCTGTAATCGAACCTGGGGCCCTTCAGTTCAAGGGCTGATGCTCTAACTACTGAGCCAAATAGGCCAGGGCAAGATTAACGAACTTTAAATGGCCATTTAAGAAAATGTGTGGCTCCCAATCTCCCTATCTTTATTTTCCCATAAGCCTTTTCAGCCCTACCCATGTTTCAAGACAAATCAGATCAGTACACCCCAATCCTTTTAAAGCCCTAAGTTCTTTTTCCCAAATATTTTCTAACTATTTATTGGTCTGGGAGGGAAAAGAGTACTGGGGTGGGGCTTTCACGTGGATGGTATTTCCAATGGGGAGAGAACAAAGGCCTCTGGCTTGGCTTCCTGCTTTAGCACTCCTGTCAGCAGGAACTCAGGTGAGAGGATGGGCAGCCCAACCCGAAATGGCGTGGTGCATCGAGGGACATCCTGGGAGCATGCGATCACAACTCTCTGAGGCTGGGGAAGACAGGCAGCAAAGACAGAAAGTCAGGGTGGAAAAAAACCCCTAGAAGTATGTTTAGGGCCCACACATCAGTCCAGACATCACTAGAACAGTAGCTCCGGAGACGATGCCATATGACGCACACTGTGCTGTGTGTCAAGTGCTCTTGCCAGAAAAGTTGAACCTGAATTTATTCAAGCTTTTAAAATTATTTATAATTTGCCTGGCCGGGCGTGGCTCAGTGGTTGAGCATCGACCTGGGATCCAGGTCATTGGGGTTCGATTCCCGGTCAGGGCACATGCCCTGGTTGCCGGCTCGATCAATGACTCTCTCATCATTGATGTTTCTGTCTCTCTCTCTCCCTCTCCTNGTCAGGGCACATGCCCGGGTTGCGGGCTCGATCAATGACTCTCTCATCATTGATGTTTCTGTCTCTCTCTCTCCCTCTCCTTTCCTCTCTCTGAAATCAATAAAGATATATTAAAAATAATAATAATAAAATAAAATTATTTATAATTTACAGGAAATATAGAAGATAGAAGAATAAGATAGGTGATACAGTCAGGGAGCAAACAGAAAAATCCAGCCTGAGGAACAACTGACCTAGTTTCTGCAAGAAGTCAATGGTATAAAAAAGGCTGAGAGGGTTGGGGGATGCTCTGGAGCAGCGATTTTCAACTGGTGTGTCACAAAAATTTTTAAAACATGCAATACCTGACTATTTAGTGAGGGGCACTGACCTCTTTTCCCTTAGATTGTCAAATTAAAAAATGACAACAGCCAACACAACAATAGCTGTCTGGTGTGAATGCCCTGTCTTGAACCATAAAGAGATAGGTCATAGAATAGAGTTGCACCTTGCTGGTCACATTGCATAAAAAGGTTGCATCTGATTGGCTAATTCTTGGTACCAGAAATCCTTATATTCAAGTATAGGCACCTGATTTTTTTTTTTTTTTTAAATATATCTTTATTGATTTCAGAGAGAGAGGAAAGGAGAGGGAGAGAGAGAGAGAGAAACATCAATGATGAGAGAGTCATTGATCGAGCCCGCAACCCGGGCATGTGCCCTGACCGGGAATCGAACCCCGATCGCCTGGATCCCAGGTCTACGCTCAACCGCTGAGCCACGCCCGGCCGGGCGGCACCTGATTTTTTAAAAAGTCACTTTGGAGCAAAGAGGGTAGATAATTACTATTATTTTTTGTAAATCAATCAAAATTATACCTATTTTTTTGGTCAGATCAGCCAAAAATATATATATATTTTGGTATGCACAGAATTTTAGTAATTAGCTTATTGTGTCATGATATGAAAAAGATTGAAAAATCACTGTTCTGGAGTAAAAGAGAATTAAGAGATATAACAACTGCGGCAAGACTCAGACCTGGTTTGAATCTTGAACTGAACTGTAAAAAGACATTTTCAGACAACTAGAGAAACTAGATTAATGGAGTATAAAAAAATGTCTGAGAAACCATTGTTAATTTTTTTATGGATAAATAATGGCATTGTGATTATAAGGAAATGTACATACTTCTTAGAGATGTGTACTTTAAGAATATAGTGGAAATAATAGGTGTTTGTGGTTTTATTTAAAATACTTCAGCAAAGACAAAGACAAAGGAAAAAGCGATAGAGCGAGCAAATGTGGCAACATCTAAATGAACCTGAGTGATTGTCACTGCATTTTTCTCTTCTTTTGTGTATATTTGAAATTCTTTTTTTTTAAGTATGTCTTTATTGATTTTAGTGAGAGAGGGAGACTGAGATAGAAACATCTGTCGGCTGCCTCCTGCACATCCCTCCTGGCGATCACGCCTGCAACCCAGGCATGTACCCTGACAGGGAATGGAACCGGCAACTTCTTCGTGCATGGACAATGCTCAATCAACTAAGCCTCACCGGCCCGGCTATTTGAAATTCTTTAAAATACAAAAGATGGCTCTCTGTCACATCAATGTTTCTCTCTCTCTCTCCCCCTTCCTCTCTCTCAAATAAATAAGTAAACAAATAAATAAATAAAAATCAATAAAAACCTATTTAAAAAAATAAAATAAAATGCAAAATAAAACGAAGTCTAACTGGTATCAGCAGAGCTCCTCCGTCATTCCTATCCCTTTCTGTACCATAGGTCTTCCCCCACCTCTCACTACTGTGTTTTCATCTGTACCTCCCCAGATCCAGAACAGACTCCCCCATACCTTGTAGGACCGGGGCATGCTGGGTAGGACAGTGCCTCCACAGCAGCTGATGATCTCTCCCATCTGAGGTGGAGGTGGCTGGACTCCAGGGGTCACATGAATCTCATAGCCCTAAGGGAAGGAAATGGTGGAGACAGTGGATAGCCCTGCTGAGAGGCCCTGCACTGCTGGGAAACTTCTGGAAGGAGTGCTGGAGCACAGGGAAGAAGTCCCTTACCTCTAGAAGCCTTTGCTCACGAGCCCGGCTCAGGGAGTCACGGAGGCTGAAGCCAAAGTTCTTTTCCTGCTCAGGATCAGTCACCACATACTCATCCGGAGGCAAGAAGCAACCGGCCTTGCGGGACTAAGGGTGGAAGCAGTGGGTGTCGGAGCTGAGGCCTGCCCTCACCCAGCTCTGCTCCCTAGCATTTATGGGGCGCTCACAAAGTGCTTTCTGTGTGTGTAATCCTCACCCGAGGACATTTTTCCCACTGCTTTTCAGAGAGAGTGAAAGGGAGAGACATTGACTGGTTGCCTCCCAAACTTGCCCTGACTGGGGCTGGGGATCGAGCCCGCAACCAAGGTAAGTACCCTTGGCTGGCCCCGAACCCAGGACCCTTCAGTCCACAGGCTGACGCTCTAACCACTGAGCAACCAGCCAGGACTCACAAAGTGTTTTTGGAGGAGGCCTCACCTCACTCTGTCTCCCTGCGCCCCTCTCGAGTACGCGTGAGGGGTCCTCGGGGGTCTGTCCGCATCTCCTGGCCTCTCACCTGGTACAGCCAGTCCAGGGAGAGGATAGGGATCCCCCGCCCCACAGCACACAGGAACTTGACTGTCCGGCAGATTCGATCAGTCACCAGGTGGGACGCCTCTGCCACCGAGCTGGCCAGACTCCCCCCCAGGGCGAGCACTGCCTGTTCTCCACGGGCATCCACCACTCCTGTGAAGAGCACCTGTGGAGGGGATTGGCCTACGTTGGTCACAGCAACCCATGTACCAGTGCTTATCTCCGAAGTCCCCCAGGTCTCCTCCCATCCCCCCACATCTGCTCCCATGAATCCCCAGACCCCTTCTCTCCTACTTTGGGGGCTGTGGACTCGTGGTTAGGTTTGGTCCGTCGGAGGCTGCGGCCCGGCATTCTCTTGGGCTCTTCCTCAGCCTGGTCTTTCTTTCTCTTGCCGGATCCTGGCATCACTATATCCTGGGATTGAGAAGGATCCTGGTGGGAGTTTCTAAGCCCCCGAGCCCTTTCCCAGCTGTGCAGCCCCAGCTCTCTCCTTACCTCTTCCTTCCCTGGCTTCTCTGTGGGCTCTTCCTCCACTCCCTTGATGGACACTGTCTTCCGAGGGACGTGTCTTTGCAGCCGTTTTTGAAGTGGGGGTGAATCAACAGTATCTGAAGGCCTCTTGCGGTCTTGAAAGGCCTTAGACTGGGACTCTGGGGTGAACTCATATCTACCTGCTGCCTCTACCTTTTGGATCTGGGGAGCATGAGTGGGTGCCTCAAGAAGCTGGGCAAAGGCAGGCTCAGGAATGGGCCCGAGGGACTCAGTTGCTTTCACTGCTCCCCGCCTTTGGCTCCTTGAGGACCAGGAGTTAGGTTCAAGGGGTGCAGAGCAGGGTTCACAGACAATGGGAGCTACAAGGGACCCATGCTTCCTAGTGACCCTTTGCCTCCTGCTACAATTGGCTTGAGGTATGGGCTCAGGGGGAATAGGCTGGTCTGTGGGGACAGGAGACTGGAAGTCAGGGGTGGTAGAAACTGGCACAGAGCGTATTTTAGACCTCAGTGTCCTGCTCTGACCACCCTGAGCTACGGCCTTGGAAGTGACAAGCTGGTCTGTAGGGGTGGGAGGTTCAAGGTTAGGGGCTGTGGGGATAGTTGGTCCAGGGGCCTTGATAGAGGCCCTATGTGTCCCCCGAGTGGCCCGAGATGTGGGCTTAGGGGTGATAGGCTGCTCTTTGGAGGTGGTAGGGTGGAGCTCAGGGGCTGTGGGGACAGTTGGTTCAGGGCTCTTGACAGAAGCCCTATGTGTCCTGCCCCGAGTGGCGCGAAATGTGGGCTCAGGGGTGATGGGCTGCTCTTTAGGGGTGGTAGGGTGGAGCTCCAGGGCTGTGGGGACAGTTGGTTCAGGAGCCTTGACAGAGGCCCTATGTGTCCTGCCCCGAGTGGCCCGAGATGTGGGCTCAGGGGTGATGCCCTGCTCTGTGGGGGTGGTAGGGTGGAGCTCGGGGGCTGTAGGGACAGTTGGTTCAGGGGCCTTGACAGAAGCTCTGTGTGTCCTGCCCCGAGTAGCCCGAGATGTGGGCTCAGGGGTGATGGGCTGCTCTTTAGGGGTGGTAGGGTGGAGCTCAGGGGTTGTGGGGACAGTTGGTTCAGGAGCCTTGACAGAGGCCCTATGTATCCTGCCCCGAGTGGCCCGAGATGTGGGCTCAGGGGTGATGGCCTGCTCTGTGGGGGTGGTAGGGCGGAGCTCAGGGGCGGTGGGGACAGTTGGTTCATGGGCCTTGACAGAAGTTCTGTGTGCCCTGCCCCGAGTGGCCCGAAATGTGGGCTCAGGGGTGATGGGCTGCTCTTTAGGGGTGGTAGGGTGGAGCTCAGGGGTTGTGGGGACAGTTGGTTCAGGGGTCTTGACAGAGGCCCTATGTATCCTGCCCCGAGTGGCCCGAGATGTGGGCTCAGGGGTGATGGCCTGCTCTGTGGGGGTGGTAGGGCGGAGCTCAGGGGCGGTGGGGACAGTTGGTTCATGGGCCTTGACAGAAGTTCTGTGTGCCCTGCCCCGAGTGGCCCGAAATGTGGGCTCAGGGGTGATGGGCTGCTCTTTAGGGGTGGTAGGGTGGAGCTCAGGGGTTGTGGGGACAGTTGGTTCAGGGGTCTTGACAGAGGCCCTATGTGTCCTGCCCCGAGTGGCCTGAGATGTGGGTTCAGGGGTGATAGCCTGCTCTGTGGGGGCTGTAGGGACAGTTGGTTCATGGGCCTTGACAGAAGCTCTGTGTGTCCTGTCCCGAGTGGCCTGAGATGTGGGCTCAGGGGTGATGGGCTGCTCTTTAGGGGTGTTAGGGTGGAGCTCAGGGGCTGTGGGGACAGTTGGTTCAGGGGTTTTGACAGAGGCTCGTTGTGTCTTGCCCCGAGATGTGGGCTCAGGAGTGATGAGCTGGTCTGTGGGGGTGGTAGGGTAGAGCTCAGCAGCTGTGGGGACACTTGGTTCAGGGGCCTTGATAGAGGCCCTATGTGTCCTGTCCCGAGTGGCCTGAGATGTGGGCTCAGGGCTGATGGGCTGGTCTGTGGGGGTGGTAGGGGGGGGCTCCAGAGATATAGAAGAAGCTGGAGAGGGTATCATCCTAGAGCACCCCTGGGGCCTGACTTTAGGTTTTGCATGAAGAGGGTCCAGCTCTGAGGACAAGGGATTCTCTGGAACTTCCTGACTCTCATTTTGCCCGGCCCTGGGAATGAGTGGCTCTAAAGAAGGTGGAGAGGGAGCAAAGCAGGGCTGAGAAGCAGGATGATTTTGGGGCTGAGAGATGAGAGGGCTTTGGACTGGGCCTGAGGCTTCAGGTACTGCCGGAGGCAAACAAGCATCTAGGGATTCTGGATCACCCTGGGGAGAAATAGAAGCAGGTGAGGGAGGCAGAGGCAGAGGGGAGAGAGACAGGACTGGACACTGTTCTGATACTTGTTATGGTGAGAGTATACTCAGTGGCATTTCTCTTTGTCTCTGACCATCTTCCATTAGACTGGGAACGTCCCAGGAAGGAGCGGTCTTCTTTCCCACAGACCTCTCCCCATAAGGCCAGGACAGTGTTCTCAGTATGTGGATGATGGATGGTTGGGGAAAGAGGGAAGGGACACGAAGGGGTGTTCTTTCTGAGTTAGGCAGAGGGAGACAGAGCTGGGAAACAGGTGCCAAGGCAAGGGCCAGAAGCCAGCTAAGGCTTGGTGAAGGTGAGCACAGCGGAGAAGGTGGGGAAGAGCAGATGAAAGCAAGGTCTGTCCAGGGGCAGTGGAGGGGAGGGAGAGAAAATAGCTCTCACCCTAGACGGCTTCTCAGCAGGTGGCATCTTACAACTGTGGCCTAGACAGAAGTAAAGACAAGTGTGGCTGAGGTCTAAGCAGGCAGTTACTTGGGGTTATCACGAGGCTGTGTAACAGCTTGGGTCCGTCCCCCTCTGCTTTCACTTACCTCTCTGCTGCCTCCTAGGACTCACCTTTCTCCACCTGACTGGCTCCCAGAAGCTATCCAGGCTAAAGCTAGTCCCTCTCAGTCCCCTGACCCTCCTTCAGGCTCCAGTGTTGGACTGGAGGCCTGCCCTTTCTGGTCCCAGCTCCCTCTCTCCGTCCCCATCTCCATGAGCCTCCCTCTAGTATTACTTTGGGTATGCTGACTTCTAACCCACTTGGCTCACCCTGTCTCTCTGGTGCTAGTTACTCTGCTTCTCTCTCAAATACTTCTCTTAAGAGTCTGCTTTACTACCACTTGTAGTTCTTGAGTGTCTCAATTTCTACCTTCAAACTCTCCATATCCCTTTCCATACTTGCACTTTTCAGTTTTATCAGACTCTTGTCTCTGAGTCTTTCTAGCTAACACCTGCTTTTGTTCCCTGTCCTTTATCACCCTGGTTAATTCTTCCTCTCCCATTACATCTTCTCTCAATCCTTCTGGTGGCATTTTTTAGTTTCCCTCTCTAATGGCCCTCTGCCCAGGGTCACCCTCTCTACTGATTCTCTTGGTGTACCCATGCCTTTCTCCGCAGTCTGCAGCCCTCTGTCTTCAATCCCCAACGGCTCTGCGTGATCTGGGCTTTCTGGATGTTGGTCTCGAGGTGTTGGCCAAGGTGAAAAGGGGCAAGACCCATGGGCCTCAAGGTAGGCAGCAATGGGCTGGGTCTCAGAGGCCTCAGACTCTCTTAGACAGTATGGCTGTGTAGCCAAGATCTCCAATGGCTCATCCAGGGCACCTGGAAGTAGAGTCAGAGAGAGTGAGAGAGACAGAGAGAGAGGGAGGGAGATTGAGAAGGTGACAGGTTGAGAAAGGATTAAGAGGAATTTATGAACAATAACTCTATATGGGCTATTAAAGAAAAGCTAGGAATAAGAAAGATAGTTGTAACCTTTAATGTTTGCCTCAAAAAGTAAGACCACACCTTTATATAAAAGCTCTCACAGCAGCCTCTTAAAAATTAGGGTAGATAATGCTTCTCAGTCTTTTGGCTAAGATCGAGTGTAAAAATTATGCTAGACAAGTTGCTCTATAGGTCTAATTTAATATGACTTTTTTTTCTCCCTAATAACATAAGCAAAATAATCAAAGAATATGAAAGAAATGTGTAGAAGGAGAAAACAAAATTTTCTGCAAAGTTAGGGGCACAGAGGAGGGGAGTTTCTTATACCTGGGGCCTGCAGGCTACAATGGGAAGGGCCAGGCTCTTGGGGTAAAGTAAACAGGAAGGCCTGGGTGGGCTCGTCCTCCATGCTCGGGACCGCTGCACAGGAAAAGGTGGCCTAAGCACAGCTCCTCCACAGAGCTCCAGCCCATTCTCAGTCTCCTGCCCTGCCTCTGCCAGCTTTCACCCTTCAAGGACCACCAGTCTAATCTCCCAATGCTGTGTACAGCATCCCCACAACACAGATGTCCTCACCTTCCAGGCTCAGATTCTCTCTCTCCACAAAGCACTGGGTAGCTTGTAGGTCTAGATCTTTAGAATCTGGTGGGGGAGAAATACAGAATAACAAAAAAATCATACCTGACCCATAACACCTTACTTTTCTCTACTATTCTCTCTCCAACCCAAACCCCTATGCAATGGGTGTCCCACCCACATTCTTTTTTAAAAACTTTTATCAGTATTTACTGTATGCTGAATTTACTCCTAGGCCCTATGTTTTTGTTTCTTCTGTGACATTTTTTTCTTCTGTGAACCTCTACTTCTGGTTTAGGAGGTTCCTTTTCAGTAGGATCACCTCCATGTGGCAGAGAGAGCTCATGGGTGGGTTAGTCCGCCCATGAGCTCTGTAAATTCTACACCAAATCTTGGGGGCTTTGTTCACCTGGATGTGCTCAATGACCGGAGAATCTACACCTAAACCCTAAAGTTCGCACTGCTCTGCATTTTTAAGCATGTGTAGCAAAAATTAAGCACTTTTTGGGTCACTGACCCTGCATCCAGGCCCACTGTTTGGCCTGTGCACACCTACCAGCTCCACCATTGTAACGACAGAATGGCACACACTGCTTCTGTAAAGTGACATCCATCAGGTACTTGGTGGCTTTTCAGACATGCATACCCTTGATGGCCTGAGTGTTCTTAAGGTGAACACAAAGATTTGAACCTCTTGATTTGCATGATTTTGTGGGGTTTTCTGGGTCAAGTGAACAGTGAACCATTTTCAGAGACCACATCTGGGCGCTTTTGGGAAGAATCCATCCCACATTCTTATTCTAATACCCCAAAGTGATGGTATTAGAAGGCAGGGCCCTTGGGAAGTGATTAGGGTGGAGCCCTCAGGAATGGGATTAGTGCCCTTATAAAATAGACCACAAAGAGCACCCTTGTGCCAGTAAGGACATGGCCAGAAGCAGGCCACCTATAAACAAGGAAGAGAGCCCCTGCCAGACACTGAATCTGCTGGTGCCTTGATCTTAGACTTTCCAGCCTTTAGAACTATAAGAAATGAATGCTGTTTACAAGGCAGCCATTCTGTGGTATTTTGCTATAGAAGCTTGAATGGACTAAGTCACCCTGTAAGCTTTCTTTATCTTAAGAGTCAAAGGAGGAGGGCAGGCCAGTACTTACCATCATGGTTGTGTCCAGAGTCCTTGGTCATGTCCACATGTGGTTCTCTCCCACCTTCTCTGGGAGGCTGGGCTCCCTTTCTCTGTGGCTGGGTGGGTTCCCCTGCAGTACCCGTGTCTACCAAGAGACCTGTTAGGCTCTCCCTTGAGATGAGGAGATGGTCCTGCTCCACTTGTGCTAAAGGTGACCCACCCTGGGCTGCCGCCTCAAGAGCTCTCTCCTGCTGAAGAACAGGTACAACCCACTCTGTCCCAGCATCCCCTTCAGCTGGAAGCTGGCTCTTTCTTACACCTGTCACAGTTGAGGCTGATAAGGACACACTCTCCTCAGCAGTTGTTCCACAGTCCCCTCCTGGGGGAGGCCACACTGCAGGCAGCTTTGTAGGGCCCCCTTCTGCTTCCACATTTGTTGGATTTTTCCATGTCACAGGCTCTTGATGCTTCTCCGGAAGTGTAGCAGCTGGCCCTGGGGGGACTTCCTTTTCCACTTGTGTGTTGAAGCCCGCTGTGGCAGAGGCTTGGCTTCTCTCCAGGTGGACTCCAGGTGAACTCTTACCTTCTTCCACTTCTATATCACTGTCCCTGAAGGGAGGCTGGCTCTTTTCTGAATGAGCTTTGTCTGCATAATCCTTGGGGACACAGTCTCTCTTTTCCACCAGGTTTCCCCCCCCCTCGTCTGTGTCACTGCCTCTCCCAGCAGAGGTCCGGCTTCGCTCATGGAGAGCGGGAGGCTGGGCTGCGTCCTCTTGCACATCCGTGTTTCTGTTCCACGCAGGGGCCTGGCTCTCCTTCAGATGGGCCAAGGTGAGCACTGCCGACACTTCCTGCTTGTCTGTGTTGCTGGCGCTCAGCACAGAGGCTTGGCTTTGCACCAGGGCCACGAGTGGGGCCTCAGCGTCCTCTATATCTGTGTCACTACCAGCTGGGCTCTCTTGAAGATGTGCCAGGTCAGGTCCCCCAGGACTCCCTGTACAGACTCCATGGAAGATCTGTGTCTTCTGCACAGGAACTACAGCTGGGGTCGCGGGAATCCCCTCTTCTTCCACGTCAGTATCACTGTCTATGAAGCCAGAAGGCTGGGCCCTGTCCAGATGAACGTCAGCCGGCCTTCCTGGAGGCCTGCTCTCATCCACATCTGTCTCACTGTCCTCCCCAGTGGGCTGGCTCCTCTCCAGAATCACCCCATTGCCTGCGTCCCTCTCGACTCTTGTGTCACTGTTCCTCTCCTGCCCAGAAGTCTGATCCTTTTCAAACTGGATTTCAGTTGTGACAGCTCTACGCTGCTCTGTCTCTGCAGTGGCATCTCTTGTGGCGGCTGAGGAGGCCTCCCCTGCTGCTGGCTGCTGACTTTCTTCCTCATCTGTGTCACTGTCCAAGTTGAAGGTACAAGGTGGCCCAGGGCCATCTGGGGCAGAAGAAGGCCCCTCTTCATCACTATGAAGGGAAGAGAAGAGAAAGAGTTTATACAATCTATTTCCCAGGAAGGGATACCTGACTCAACTGTGAGCTCCTTGAGGGCAGAGACAAGGTATTTGTTTTCTGTCTCCAGCAATTAGTTCTTCACTTGGCACATCAAAGGTGCTCAATAAAAATTCACTTAGTGAAAGAGTATGTGTAGTTTCCCAGCCCTCATTTCCATGACGATTCTCTCTCTTAGAGATGCATCTTTCAGTCCTAGGTTCCTTCTCTTTCTGAAGACTCAGGTGTCTGGCCCCCAACACTCACCTCTCTGGAACGACTGTTGCCAAAGGGGAGGACGTGGTCCTTGGTTCTTTCACCATGTACCTTTCAGAAGGACGATCTGCAAGGAGCAGAAAGGAGTAAGTTGACAGTTTTACATTCACCGTCCCATCTCCTTGCCCACCCTCCCAATACACACACTTACCTACTTCGTCTTCTGAGTCCTCAGCCAGCAGGATCCCCCAGGGTCGAGTACCTCCCTGTACCCTCGGTGTCTCCTCTACAGTTAGGGGGCCCCGGGAGACAAAGGGCAGGGAAACATCCAGGCGATGGTACTGGCAGGGCAAGTCAGCAAAGACAACGAACTCCTGGTCCCTCAGACGATGACTCACCCCAGGGCTCAGGAATTTAGGAGGCCTCAGGATTTGAGTACCATTGAGGCTCCCACAATCCCAGAGGACAGGTGCCTTGTCCCGGGCCAAGATTTCAATCACTGCATGTTGCTTGGAGATGGATGGAAAGGGCAGGGCCACAGAGCAATCGGGCATTCGGCCTATCACATTCTTTCCAAGGTAGAGTGGGAAATCTAAGGATTAAAGGGTAGAAAGAGTCCAAGGCCACATTCCTGGCCTGCTGCTGGGGAAATTTCTGCTTAATAACCGGCTACTCATTTAAGGTCCCCACATGCAATAGAAAAAATAAAGGGCTTAAGGACATCTAAGTATTGAGGACTATATGCAATGCATTATTTATAGTCAACACTCTACCTAGCCATATTGGATTTTTTCTGTTGTGATAAAATATACATAAAATATAGCATTTTAACCATTTTTAAGTGTACAGTAAAATCACCCCGTGTCCCAGATCTCCTTGAAATATATTCAAGTTTTACCCTGGCCGGTGTGGTTTAGTAGTTAGAGTGCTGACCCAGGACTGAAGGGTCACAGGTTCGATTCCCCATCAAGGGAACGTTCAATCTCAGGCCCCAGTTGGGGCATGTGCGGGAAGCAACCAACTGATGTCTGTCTCTCACGTGGATGTTTCTCTTTCTTTCCCCCTCTCTTTCTCCCTTGCACTCTCTAAAAATCAATGGAAAAAAATATCCTTGGGTGAAGATTAACAACAATACACACACACACACACACACACACAAAATGTTTCTTACAACCCTCCAACTACCTCTCCACAAAAATAAGAGGCCTATACCAGTACTTCAGCATCCATATCCCCTGACCTTTTTCTGGTCCGTGGGCACTACTGAAGACACGCAGTCGCCCTAGGGGCTGCAAGCTACACTCCGAGGAGTCACTGGGTCTCTCTGTCTCCTCCTCTTCATCAACCTCCCAGTTAATAGCTTGAGTGTCCTCCATGATCTGGGAAGGAAACACATTATCTCCATCATTGGTTCACAGAGTCTCAGAGAGGAGACTCACAGCTGGGGTAAACCTGGCCAGTTACGGAGTTTATGCTTCTCTTTATGCCAAGTATTCTGTTGTTATCCTTCTAAAGCATCGAAAAAATATTTTTGACTGTGACAAAATAAGAGATAAATATCATAAGGTCCCAAGTTCACAAGTAAATGTTCCTCAACTTACAATGCAGTTACATCCTGATAAATCCATAAGTTGAAAATACAATAAATTGAAAATGCATTTACTACACCTAACCTACTGAACATCATAGCTTAACCTAGTGTCCCTTAAGTGTGCTCAAAACATATTAGCCTACCGTTGAGCAAAATCGCACAAAGCCTATTTTATAATAAAAGGTTGAATGTTGTATGTAATTTATTATGTATAGCATTTCTGCAATATTGTAAAGTCAAAAAATCATAACTCAGAGAACATCTGTATATACAAATACACACAGTCATTTATATAGACAAGTTTTTGAGAAACTGCTTAGCCTTACTATATGTGAGTTTTCATTCTGTGCTTTTTTTTCTGTTTTTAAATGCTGATTTGCAATCCACTAAATTGATTTCAATATTCACTATTGGGTTGCAACTCACAGTTTGAAAAACACCATTTTAAAGGAAGCTAACTTTTGCCAAGCATCAACCACATGTTGGACACTGTGTTATGTGTGAGGGAAAGTAGCCATATGAGGCAGGCATTTAGGAAACTAAGACTAAAAATATTAAATTATTTGCTGAGGATAACATAGCAGGCAAGTGTAAAGGACAGAAATAAATGTGCTTCTGGCTGCAACGCCCATGCTTTTTACACGTTACCAGACCACCTCAGGTGATCAGCACCTATCCCGTCACTTCTCACCATATTGTAACT